TCCTCCTCCTCCTCTGGTCCGGATTCCGTTCTTTCCCTTGCACCTCCTCGGCCAGAGCACCCCCATGCTCCTTTTAAGTTACCTTCAATGTTCCTGTTACATAAGTTACCACGGCCCGTGACACCGGCGGGCCCGGGCCCCGGCCCGGTGGCGGGCCGGCCACGGCCGGGTTTCCCGAGTCACTGAACTGACTCTTTCAAGTCAATGAGTAAAAGTTTGTATGGTGTCACGAACTGCAACGCGGCCTCCGGCAACCATCACCAACTCCCTAAGAAGAGGGGGTGGTTGAACACTGAGGTGTTCATAAGGAAACAAGGACGGTACCGGTACTTCTGAGATAAGGGAGGGGTCATACAAGCCGTATACTTGCCATGTTGAAGTGGGGTAGGGTCAGTGAGGCCCCGGTAGTCAACCTGGGGGCGTAAAGTTGAATGACAGCGCGGTAGGGTACTTGTCAGGGGTGGGTGATAAGAGGGTGAGAAGGGGGTGTCTAGAGGTTTATTGGGGGTGGTCTGTGCTTGTGATCAGGGGGTGGGTGGGTACCCCGGTTGGCATCTCTAGGTGGGAGTGAGTCACGATCGCAGATAAGCATGTCAGCGGAGGCTGGGAGGTGGAACAGGGGGTGGGGGTGGATCATTTTGCTGATACCACGGGTGCTGATGACAGGGAGAGGGAGGGTGATGGGGTCAATGTACGGATTTTGAATATGGAAGGGTGGGTGGTTCATTTAGCTAATAAAAGGGCGTCAAGAAGAGAAACATTTGATACGTCAAGGCGCGGACGAGGAGGAAGGAACGAAGAAAAGAAGAGCGCACAAGGAGAGAGAGGGAACAGAAGGAGCTGAAGGATAAGAATAGCAAAACATTCAAGACATCGAACGGGTTAGCCTTGAGCAACAACGATGAAAGTTACTGTAGAACAGTTGCAGCAGGAGCTAGAAAAGCAAGGGCTAATGGATCTTGTTGAGAAGCACAGGGGAGCAGAGGAGGTCCCTCACCTCCTCAATCGCTTTCTTGTCGCGAGGAAGCACAAGCTGAAGGACGCAATGAAGATGATCAGGCAAGACCTGGAGTGGAGGGAGACAGAGAAAGTGCTAGAGATTAGGAATCGAACGTCAAGGGAAGTGCTCAACGCAGAGATCAATCCTCAAGGGAAACAGCTTCACGATGAGCTCTTTCCGCACGGATTTCTCGGCACCTGCAGGATGGGGAGGCCAGTCCTGTACCTCCGGTTCGGCAGGGACTTCGATGCGGAGAAGCTGGATAAGAACGCGCATCTCACACACGAAGACTTGGCGAGATACAACATCTGGATGATGGAGAGGGTTGCTGCCAAGATGAACTTCGAGGGCCAGTGGGTGGTCGTGGTTGACCTGGAAGGATGGCATCTAGGTCAGATGACAATCCGAAACATGAAGGTTTTGCTTCTTTCCTCAGCTGCCCCGCCCGGCCTCTGACCCTCTTCCAGTACGTGAAGCAATTCGCGGACAAGAACTCCCTGCACTATCCCGAGAGGTGGTCTCCTTCGATTATCTCGCTCTCCTTGCTAACTCCGAGCTTGCAGGGCAGGAAAGATTTTCCTCATCAATGTTCCTTCTGTCTTCTCCAAGTGCTGGAGGTTCGAGAAGTTTAAGCCACCTTGCATCTTCCTTTCTCATCCATCTCTTGTAGTCTGATGAAGCCATGGCTGGACGATGTGACAAGAGAGAAGATAGGATTGTACCGCTCGCCGGAACAGGTATCTCTATAGCGCTTTTCGCATCTTGGTAATGTGACGTACTCTTCCTAGTGGATCCCTGCTATTAGCGAACTAATGGACTTGTCCATGCTGCCCAAGCGGGTCGGAGGGAATGCGAATCTCGAGTACGACAGCCACTCTCTTGACCCCTCAGATAGCGAGTACAGGACAGTGACAGCTTAGCTTCTCCATGTACAACTCTTATGTGTTGATAAAACAAGTTTGAACAAGCAGCACGTTCAATGATTGTTATTGCCTCTCATAGGACCGTACTGCATTCAGACTCGGACGCCAGTTGCTCGTCCGGGACCTCGGATCGGCTGATCGTCCGGGTCTCCTACGGACTCTACCGTCGATTCTGTGGTCCGGGGCTGGCGACCGTCGGACTTTATCATGTCAGTGTGCGGCAGTGCGGCAGATCCGACGTACAGCAGTTTTGACGTCCTACAACCGTAGGCGTCAATGTTATTGAGGCCCAAAGAGAACCCGCTCAAGTCATAATTAGAATGAATATGAGGGCAGCAATTTTCGGACTTGAATTGCTAGGCCCGGTGTGGGCCCACAAAGGCAGGAGAGCGAGTTGGATGAAGGGGGTGGATGAAAGAATTTCAGAATGTGGGGTGGGGTGGGGCGAAAAGCTACTCAAGGTGGGGTGTTATTGTTGATTTTGTACAGGTAGGGGTGATTGTGTTGAGGACCGAGGGGGTAGGGTGGAGAGTATATAAATGAGAGGGGGGTCGTGTCTTTATATGTCAATGGCTGTGGCATCGGTGATCGCGTTCGCACAGACAGTCAACGTAAGAGGAGGAGGAGGAGAGAGAGAGAGAGAGAGAGAGAGAGGAGGAGAGGAGGAGG